GCTACTACAACGACATTGAGTGCAAGAGCGGCCTTGATGACCTCGACCACTCGGTGCTGGCGGTCGGCTACACGACGTACAATGGCGAAAAGTACACGCTCGTACGTTCCTCCGAATCTCTCCGACAAGGAGAAGCTCACGTTGGAGGACGTAGGTCAAGAACTCGTGGAGCACGCATTGGGGTGAGAAGGGCTACATCAAGATTGCCCAGAAGAACAACATTTGTGGCGTCGCGACCATCGCGACCTACCCCGTGCTGCAGAAGACGGCGGCGTGAGCTGTCGCTTGGCTCCTTTTTAGTGTATCTCTCAGTCAATTCAGTCTTCATGCCCTCGTCCTCTTTACACGATGAAATACCTCGAACGATTTCACATCTCCGCTCGACCCTGCATTGTACCTCAACCGCGCCTTAGTACACTACAGAGACGCTAACGAGAGACGGTCGAACGCTATTGGAGCTGCCAGCCATCCGACGACCTCCAAGCGGCCATGATGGAGCGCCGTCTAGCGATCGGGCTGCCTATTTTTAAATCCTCATTGACTGACGGCGCGATGCGTGCTGCGCTGGTCGTCTCCTGGGCACTCGCCTCGGCGACCCGTCCGCTCGGTGCGCGGCGCTTCACCATCCACGTGCTTATGCCTCACTACACTAGTCCGCATCCCACTCGTGAACCTGGACCAGCTTCAATTCTACGGCAGCATCCACATTGGGTCGCCGCCCCAGACCTTCCGCGTCATCTTCGACACGGGCTCGAGGTTGCGTCGGCAGCTCGATTCGTTGCTCTCAGAATCTCATTCTAGCGACGTGTGGGTCCCCAGCCAAGACTGCACCGCGTGTTCGGGCTCTGCTCGCTACAACCGATCGGCGTCGTCCCCGTACACCAATGGTTTCTTCACCTTAAAACTGATTGCTTTGTAGCTTTGCCGACGAGAGGTATCATTTCCAAGCCTTTTATGGCAGCGGTGCCGTCGCGGGCGATGTCTTCTCGGACACCGTCGCCTTGCCCGGCGCGTCGCATGCGCCTCTGCTGCGCATGGGCAGCGTCACGACGCAAGACGCCCCTATTCAAAAGTTTGCATCCGAAGGCATTGTCGGTCTCGGGTTTCCCCCACTCGCTTCGATTTCGGCGCCAACGTTCTTGGAAGCGCTCGAGATTGAGATCTTCTCGCTCTACATTAGCCCCCTCCCGACCTCTCTGATCCCGTCGCAGCTGCTGTTGCATGGTAAACAGAGTCGGAATACTCGCATGGCTTGTCGCTATGACAGTCGAATAGGTGTCGACGACGCCCTCGCCGGGCCCAACGCGACGTGGCACGAGATTCCGCTGGCCGACGCGCCGTCGACAGGTCGTCAAGACGCTCGAACGAGTCCATGACGCACTGCGTAGATGGTTTTTGGGGCGTCCGATTAGGCGGCATCCGCGTGCACGACGTTTCTCTTCAACGTACGACTTGGTTGATTCGACCCAAACTCGAGGACAAGTTGTGCATATCCGGATGTAGGCGCCGCCACCGTGGCGATCCTCGACTCTGGCACGTCGCTACTGCTGCTCCCGCACATAGAGTACGCGTCCATGGTCGCTCGCCTCTGTGCAGTCGTCCCAGCCCTCGACGGCTGCGACGTCGGTCACGTGTCTTGCTCGTCGTGTGACCACACGTCGTTTCCGCCGCTTACGTTCACCCTCGGCAGCACGGCTTTTACACTCCAAGGCTCCGACTACGTTCGGTAGAGTCTTTCCTCAGTGTCTAGTAGCTGCATCGAGCCGTAGCTGCGAGCTCAACGTGTGCACACCGCAGATCGAGACGAGCGCCAACGCGTTCGTCGTCCTCGGCGATATTCTTTTTTCGGGTACGTTGATCGACAAGGTCTAAGCCCATGAGCTCCTTGATTCGATATA